ATATTACAGTGTTATTTATTTATTCTTTTTGATCAAATGACAAATATAGATTTGCCTTGATGAGCAGACCTTATAAACAGATGTCGGGCCCCACACCCCAAAAATATGTACAGTAGGTCGCCTTCAGGCCCAGGCCTTCCTTGGAAAAAGAGATCTGCGATCTCAACAGGATTTTCCTGGTTAAGCAACGATAAATACAATGTCAAAGATTCAAATTGATATAAAATACGGTTGGTTTTCAGCAACAGGAAAAATGGAACAATTTGTGAGGCAATTTTGTTTTGCCTGTTGTCAGTGTATGTATTCTTTATGCAAAATGTACACTGAAGAAAACTGGGATTCCACACCCATTATTTAAAACAACTGCAGAAAATACATCTTCAACACATAAGTTTTAAAGTATAAAATTGTCATGAATACTCAATACCTTTTCTAAGAATAAACTTAATTTCAACATCTTAATATCATCTTTATGTGGTCTGTTTTTATATGAATGTATGATAAATTGGTCGGTTTTTACTGTTGTTGTCTATTGTTCAGTGTTTGACTTGATCAAGACTTTTTGAGATTCCACACTACAAACTTAATAAAACATGTTTGAATTGTTCTGATATCGTATTGGGTCAACATTGGTATTGTATCGGAACTGAAACAGTTGTACCGTAACACTCCAAATTTTTTAACTAGGATTTTAAACTCAAAGTAAGACAAACAAGGTAGAACTTTACGCTAAAGCATCAACTGGTGGGCCTCCGCCTACCCTAGACTCATCTGCATTTAAAGCACTGGGCATGCAGTTACCTGTTGACCCCTATTTTTGGACTTAAATATTCTAAAAAGTATGTAACTATATCAACAATATTTAAACATGAGTTCCCCTTTGATATTTACCATATCATTGATTTCAGTGACAAACAACATGTGTGCTGTCCAAAATAAGGGGATTCAAGCAACAACAATCACTTTACCTGACCCTCAGCTTTGACCTTTTGTCTCCAAAATGTTTTCAGATCTCCGTTGGGCCAAGAACAATTATCTTGTTAATTTGAACTGAAATCAGTAGCTCCATTCAGGAGCTGCAGTTCACACAAGACAGTGTGATGGACGGCATTTCGCACAGACGAACAACCAGAGAACAGTACGCCTCCTCGTGGGAGATATAACAATAAAAATGTGTTTGTGACATTTTTAACGTTTTATTTTACACTTGGCGTACCATTAAAAACTTACATAATGATACAAAAATATTACAATTAATCAGCTGTGATAAATGAAGTGAATATTTAGCCTACTGTAGCTGGTGATATCTCATTTGGCTGTGACTTTTAGAGATGATAATTAAGCTACCACTGGTGGGCACACTAATCAGCTAACAACTAATAGCCAAACTCCCTTTTTGTTTAGCTTACTAACCTTTTTGGTAACTTTGCAAAACAGCAAACCAAATAGCTTTTTCTAAATTGAGTTGCAGGGGTTTCAAGTCCGTTAACATTAAAGGCTTGGTTATAGTTGCGCTTTTGAGTGACGCACAGTGCTCTGCTGACAGTGCATGGACCTGTCCAAGTGGTGTAGGCGTTTATGTTTGATGGTTATATTGGTGCAGTATTCTTGTGGAAATGTAAAAAAAAAAGAGAGAGATTACAAACACATGGTGGACAAACTATTTAAATGTTTGGTAGGTGCACAAACAGGCGCCGCAACACTGCACTGCGCTGGGCCGGTGTAATTGCGTAACATTTGGTGCACGCACACTCTTGCCGTGTTCAGTGCATTGACTATAAACCTAGCTTAATTGAAGATGTCTTTCTGCAGATCAACACGCATGTAAACACGTTCTCCAGCATGTAATAATGCAACAGAAAGCAAATATGTGCTTGACGATGCAGAGTTAAATCAGAGTATCATCTACAAACAAAGGTTATCACTTCCACCCTCGCCATGCTGTCCCTGTTATAAACACAAGGACGTCTGACTCATGGTGTCAGGTTACAGATAACAGACTTCATCGTAGCTGCCAAAACAAACCTGAACAGAACTTTAACAAGAACAACCAATTTACACACTCAGAAACATCGTAAACAGTCAGAAGCATGAATAAATAATTTTAAAAATGTACCCAGAATCCTTTGCAGTTCATAGTTGTCTTACCTGATTCACCTTGTGTGCTATACACCAGTGGTTCCTGTGCTAGAATAATTATATAACTCCGTGCCTGATCATTAATGTTCACACTGCTTTGACATTTATAGTCAGTATCACTTTAATAACTGCTACGTTTGTATAATCTGTTCTTATGATACTTAAGATGCCATTTGATTGTCTGGGGACCTCGTTCCCATTCTATACCATTGTACAATTTGTCATTCTGTTATTGGCTGTTCATGCGCTCCACCCGGAAGTATATTAATGCATTTCCTGTCTGCTCTTCTTCAGTGGTAACTTGACAGACCCGCTGATTAACTCTGCTTGGGTTGCTACTCATCTTTGCAATTGCAAAGCTTTTTATTAAAACATCTGACGACCAACCACGCAGTGCACCTTCTTTTATTCACATGTTTCTGGCTTTAGGGGATATTTCCACGACAGTTCCCAACCCTGGTCCTCAAGTACCCCTATCCAGCATGTTTTACTTGTTTCCCTGCTATTCAGCAGGTCTTCAGAAGATTGTTAATCACTCATTCATTCAAACCAGGTGTGTTAAATCAGGGAAACATCTAAAAATCACTGCTTTAAATGTTGACCAACACCTCAAGAGCTTCTCTGTGCTTGATGAGACATTTTCAAAATATAATATTGACTTAGTTTTGTGTTTTTTTTTAGTATTGCCTCTAGAAGCCATTGCAATAAAATGTTCCTTAGTTATGAACTAT